TTTTCTTTCAATCTGTATGACAAATGTGACCATATTACATAATGATACTATCTCTTAATTTGTATAATACAGATATCAATCAATTAGTCTCGAGTTTTTTTTTGTTGATTCTTCTGAGAGGATTCAGTCCCGATTCGTCGACACTCACTCTCACACCGCCCCTCCCGCCTTTGAAATTCTTTGATGTATATTCTTTGAAGTGTCCGATTTGTCGACGAATCGGGACGATACCTTCTGAGAGATGTATGAAATAGATATTGCTTGCAAACTGATACTGACAGAGTGAGATTTTTGAGATATTTAGTTTTTTCTAACAGAAATGCAAGAGAATAAGATGAAATGGCTACTGGCCAAAGTTGCCCAAGAAATCAGGAGATGCCTTAATACTTTGATACGATGTATTGTTGATACTTCAGAGAAAATGAACAAAATACAAGTTTAACCACATTTAAACTATTTAGAATAACAGGTTATTCATAATATCGTTAATATGTGCAAAGTTATAGAAGAAGTGTCAATTAGTTTTGGTATTTATCATACAAAACTTTTAGTTCTTCTCGATCAAGTGATAGAAAAGTCATCTCTTTTTGTCTAGTATCACAAAATGAATGAGAGATATCTCAAACGCTTAAATTCTATGCTAATTTATTTATGAATAATTTTAGAAGATGATTACAAAATAGAACAAAGATGTTAAAACCATTTCTAATTTGAATTTATTCGCCTGACTTGCTCTGCAAGTGTCTATATCTTTATCACAATATTCTTTTGTACACATACATATTGTATCACCATTTTCACAATCGTACAAATACAAATTTTTCGATAGATACGTTGATTGTGAACACATTTCCATTCGAGAATGTGTCAAATAATAACTGTATAAACTTGGTGGTACACATTGTTTTGTTACTTGTCCCGAACGATCCGATTTAACTAAACAGAGAACACAATTTTTCTTAACAAATTCGAGACAATCATAATCATTTGCGTCGCACAATGATGTTTGGTCAGATGAACATTGAATAGGTACATTAGGCTCTATTACGGTCTTTGAAAACGGTATATATAATCTTAAATTACTTTTCTTCATACATTCATTAGAGTCTTTATTACAATTGTTTTGTGTGCATATACAAGCTCGATACGAGCCTCTCACGTGTGTGTACGGTGAGGCAATACAAAAATCATTAAAACCGTTCAGTTTGTCTGATGAAAAACCGTAACATTCACGTACCAAATTATTATGATAACCTTCGATCTGTTTATAATTAAGACAGTAGTATGAGCTACCTTGTGGACCATTACCAGTTAACGAGAGTTTAGTATCAATACGATAGTTACGGATGATAATAAGACATGCTTCACATTGACTACCAAAACTCAATTCCGATTCATTTAAACAAGTGATATTACGAGTAGATATTGGATAATCCAACGTTGTCAAAAGAGCAAAAGATTTTGAGCAGATGATGGTGAAATAGATAAGAGTAAATAAATAAATCATAGTAGATGTCTTTAATATGGAAAATAATAATTTATTGATAGTTTTGTAGAGTATTTCGTTCTTGCTTCTCTTATAAGAACTCAATGTCCATTTACAGTCACCACTTTTCTTTTAAAATAGTAGGACAGAATTAGTAGAATTAAAACATTCTTACCAAGAACTAATAGATAGTAATAGTATGAAAAATATCGTAAAAATCAAGGACTAAAAGGCGACGGCGGGGAACATATTTGCTCAATATACATATAAAAGGCACTTCATTTTATGTCAATATATAGAAGATGCATTCATATGCGTATCGTGGACAAAAGCAAAGAAATATATTTATTTCTATTTATCTAACCGATGCCAATAAGAATTTATAAGATTTCAATTGATTTTGCTTGAGAAGTTTCTAAACAATAAAATGATTTACCAATTTCTGAAAGAAGACACATTGATTATGAAAGTAACGGGTGGTCCATAACTTTTCTTTTCTTTTTTTGAAGGACTATAAAATAAAGTTTTAAGACTCCATTCTAAACATATTTGATAGAGAATTTTCTGCTCTACAAAACTCTGTACATATGATATCAACATACCGATGATATATCTGTTAAAATAGCGTTTAATATGCAACAAGTGAAAAGTAAAACTGCAGTGCAAAGCAAGAGACTGCACTCGTGAAAATGCTACATCTGAAGCAATTTCTTTAATATGATAAAGCAAGCTTCATACTGCATTTATTTTGTGTTAAAAAATTGTCGTCATTTGTTAATCTATTGATGAGAAAACTTTTTTTTAATTTAATTAATTTACCTCCATTTGGATGATCCGAAAATGATCCGATTATATATTTAAAAGTTTTCATCTACATACCACACGGTTTTACGGGCCCATTCCAACTTCAGACAATAGAGAATTTTTGCTCTACACAAAAAATGGGATGTTCTGAGACAGCGTTAAATGTAAAGTTTCGTATTTTCTGTATCAATATGAAAGAGCAGCCTAGTATAACACACAGGCTGAAATCTGCTAAACATTTTTATAGCGTCGTCTTTGCTCAGGTTTGATATAATTCTCAACAAAAATTACTCAAACGCTGAAAAATACCGAGTTTATTTTAGTTCATCAAAAATAAAATAAAAGCTTTTCAACCCATTCTTTTTAGACCACCCGTTATGTATGAAAAACTGACGCTTTGTAGATTTAAAGCGTAATATGTCCACTTTGCTTTTGCTGTAAACTGTGAAATTGAAGTCTTGTTATATATTCGGGCAAAAATTCGACTCAGAAAATTTAGAAGTCAAGAAATCTGTACAATTCAGCTTGTCGAACAGTTGGTAAAAGCAGACTAAATTGACATTACGACATGAGCAAAATCGACATTTCCGCGACCAAAAATACAACTTTTTCACGAATTTTCACGGTACACATTTGAGTATTTTTGACAGTGTTGTGGAAGGGGTGACGGCAGTGTGAGAGTGAGTTCAAAAAGTAGTTTTAGACAAAGCATATTTTCATGGTGTCGTATGTATTTGCTTGAACTTTTCAAGTGCTTATCTGGTATGAAATTAGTTCAAGACATTGGCGGGCCGCTAGCAGGGCAATTGGGGGCAAGCGCCTCCTGAAAAGAAATATCAAGGGCCTGTGAAGAATTATATTTCGCAGCAGAGTATCTGTGACAAGTTCAAAATAAAGTAAGAACAATTCTTGATCGAAAAAATTTGATGTACGCTTTAAATGAAGGAAAAGTGTGTTAGCACAGGCAAAAATTATAAACGAAAAGACGTTTGCGTATGCACTACTCTAAAATATTTATCTTCCTCTGTAAAAAATATTTCCCCGCCCGCCCATGCTTCAAGACGAAACTGTATTAAAATTGTAATACGACTAGATTCATCAATTGCGTCAATATTTTTTTTAAAATCTATATTCAAAAATTTCCGGAGGAGTCGTCGCAGTAATGTCGTCCTCCGCGTGTTTCGTGGAAGTGTCGTTCATCGAAGTGCCATTCACGAAATGTCGGTGTATACATTTCAGCTTGTCTCTCAGCTGTTAAAAACAAACTACATCAGGATTTCTTCCTTTCTTGAATTCCACTTTCGTTGAAATGTAAAAAGCGATTTGACTTTCACATTTTGCAGTAAGGCCAAATTGAACACATTATGGGTTGAGCTCCAATATGCAGCTACACATCCTTCTTATACACTGACGAGGGAAGGCCACCAACTGCCCCATCGCTTTTGGCTTGAAACCTAGTGGACAATAGGTAATCGACCATGCTAATGCCGAATATGATAGCCGTTTTCCCCCGCAGGCGTTTTCTAGTCGGTC